GAACCAAAGTGCTTATTCAGTCAGAGTCTGAGACTTGGACGTGGTTTGCAAGGGTTAGGCATTATGTGTCTAGAGTTAGCTACACAGATGTCAGAAAGAGCCACTGGTCTATCTGTCACGAAATAGGAAAATGAAAAGATTTCTTGATAGGAGCAGTGTGGGTATGCTCACACATCTGCACTTGACAAGTGAGAAGACTTCTTGGTGACAGAATGTTAACTTTGAGTAACATCTGAGCCAAACTTACTAGGCTGTTCCATGACTGTTACTGAACCACACTGTGCAGACACAGGAGTACAGCTGTCCATCACTCATACATCCACTCACCACCAGACACAGGAGTACAGCCATCCATCACTCACACATCACTCACCACCCAGACACAGGAGTACAACTGTCTGTCCATCACTCACACATCCACTCACCACCAGACACAGGAGTTCAGCTGTCCATCACTCACCACCAGACACAGGAGTACAGCCATCCATCAGTCACACACAGGAGTACAGCCATCCATCACTCACACATCACTCACCACCAGACACAGCGGTACAGCCGTCCATCACTCACACATCCACCCATCACCCAGACACAGCGGTACAGCCGTGCCGGTTCGGGGGTGAGCTGTAATCCCTGGGCTGCACACCGCCGAGCCAGCCGTGGCTGCTGTCTCCTGATGGGTGGCAGCAGTGCCTGCCTTCACATAGTGCCCAGAGGGATGGTCTGAAGAGGACAAGGATCAAGTACCCCTGTTGGTCAAGAGTCAGGCTGTTAATAGGTTTGAGCTGCAGAAGGAAAACTCCAGTCTGAAAATGAATAAAATTATATAACTGGAGGAAAAGTTAGACAGTGGAACCTGTTGCCAAGACAGAGGTTGTGAAACTGGAGCTGCTGGAGGCTGGGCTAGACACCCATCCATCAGGGATGGCTTTGGAACAACTGAGTAAAGGCAGTGAACAATGCAAACTGCTTGAGTAGATGCCCCAGGAGCAGTCCCTTCCAACCCAAATATGTTCGAGAGGCTTCAGAAATGTAGATGGCAACTTGTCCACTTCCAGCACAGTTGTGATGTGCTACGCCACACGTACCATCGGTACCTTGTGCTGGAGCCAGTGATGATGAGATTGTAGCTGAACCCAGTGCCTTTAACAGCATGTTTTTTACTCCTAGGTTCACCTTGCTCTTAATCCATGTGAGGACCCGTTGGAAACACCTTCTAGAAACACAAGTCTTCATTCTCCGCATAAATCCCGTGGTGTCCAAGAAGAGCCTGTCCAAATGAGCAAGGCATCCCAGCAGAACTCCAGCACTGATGGGAACGGAGTGAGTGTGATCCACACCCAGGCACACAGCAGTGGTTTGCAGCAGGTTCCCCAGCTGGTGCCGGTCAGTCCTGGGGGGGGAGGCAAAGCTGTGCCTCCGAGCAAGCAGGGCAAGAAGAATTCCTTTGTGGACAGAAACAGCGATGAGTATCGGCAGCGCAGAGAGCGGAACAACATGGCAGTGAAAAAGAGCCGGTTGAAAAGCAAGCAGAAAGCACAGGACACACTGCAAAGGGTCAACCAGCTCAAGGAAGAGAATGAACGTTTAGAGGCGAAAATCAAGCTCCTGACCAAGGAGCTGAGCGTGCTGAAAGACTTGTTCCTCGAGCACGCACACAACTTTGCAGACAATGTGCAGCCTGTTGGCACTGAACCCACCACAGCAGACCCAGAGAGCAGTGCGCAGTAGACACTTGTGACCTGTGAAATGAACTCCTGAGATGCAGCTTGTCTGCAGTGCCCATGCAGTAACCAAGCAACAACTGCTCCTTTAACCATTGTTTTGTGGAAATTTTCTTTCTAGGTTTGGCACTGAAGGTTTCATGCATTTAAACCAGAAACCGGTTAGTTATTTGTTTGAAATATTTTTCTCCTCACAGACTTACCTAGTAAATGCAGCTCTGAATTCACAGCCAACAAGGAGAGTAGTGTTAAAGCAGTAACATTTTCACAGGAATGGTCACTTGTTGGAGTTTGCACAGTGGGAGGAATCCAGCAGGATGCTTCGCTGTAGGGTCAGAAATTGGATAAAATGTCTTTTAAACACCTGTTGGTGTATTTAAGCCCTTTGTTTTCTCTGTTGCTTATTACAAAGCTGCCCAGGCCGTGGAGGGTGTTTGCTTCCCATTTGGGGGGCTGTAAATCTGCAGAGCAAGTCCCATAAAGCAGCTCGTGGCTCCTTCCTGCCCAGTCACAGGTGAGGGCAGGGTGGAGAGCTGGGATTGTTTCCCGGGGCGTTGGAGGATCCCAGCAATGCTGTACACACAGCTGGTACCCAAACCACCAGTGACAGGGGCTCTGGGCTCGCTTCACTTGCTCAGTGACTGGGGCCTATGTGAGCCAGAGTTTGGTTTGCAGGGAATGCCAGATGCTCCCAAAATGCTGTGCCCTGCAAGACTGCCTTCTTGCTGGGGTACAGGAACTGGGGAGGACAAAACGTGCAGCTTGGCTGAGCAAAGGGGCAGGAGAGAGCTGTTGAGCAGTGTAGGATCACTGATCCCCCAGAAATCACAGTGGGTTTAAAGGGCCCTAGTGTAACTGATCCCGTGGAGTCTCTGCAGCCATCAGACAGTTGTGTGAAGGAGTATCTAGTCTTGTTTGAGTTTCATAGAAATTTTTCTAGAGCAACTTGTTTAATGCTCCTGCTAAGTCTCTGCCATGATCCACAATGCAGTGGTACGTGCTGTGCTGAGAACTTAAACAAGGTAAAGCAGGACCTTTGGTGTAGCCTTAATTTATTTTCATTTTGAAGTATTTCATGGATGGTATGTTGTTTTACATTTAACCTGTGTGTCTGGCTAGTGGCGAGATTACTACACTTAATTTCCCTCCTACACTGCCTTTCTCCATAGATTCTTTTGTAGGATGCTTCTTTGCCTTGTATCTGTACTTAGGAAGAAAACTTGTATATTATCTCTATGAAGATGCTGTAGAAAATGAAACCCTGAAAAGTTCTTTTGGAATTTAAACTTTAAATACATGTGGAAAACTTTTATGGATTGTTTTGGATTATGGTAGTCTTTTTACAAAGATTTGGTTTTTTGTTCTAGCTGCAGCTTAAGTTGGTAGGGTTGAAATAGCAGAAGCTAATAAAAACCTTTTCCTTCTAGTGCTGGCCCCATTTTTCCTGTCCCTTTTCCATCTCCCTCACGTGCAGAGTTGCACACCTCACACAGCTGTCTTGGAGAAATCAGTGCAGCAGTCTCTGTTCCTGCCTCACACTCAGCTTTTTGCTCCATGGACACAATCAGAAACTCATTACAGTTATGTCTGAATGTCTGATTTAAAAAGAAAAAAAAAAGAAATGTAAAATGTAGTGCAGTTAAAGGGGAGGGGGAGGAACAGAACACCAAAAACTGCAAGGAAGAAGATCTGAAAGCATCTCATTTGTTAACTGTGAACTTCCTCTGGTGCACAAGGCCAGAGCTGTGTCTGCCCTGTGTGGTCCTGTGGTCTGTGCTTGGTTTGCCAGGCCAGCGTGGGGTCCTGCCCTCGTGCTCAGACCGCGCTCGGATCTCTGGTACGTGTTTCTGCTTGTGGTGAAAATGGTTTCTTAGACCTCTTTCGAGTGGGAGCAGTGCTCTCCCTGATGCTCTGGAGGGTGACATCTCCTGACAGCTCTGACTCCACTTCCTCCTTGTCTGGAGCCAAACCCCCGAGTTACCAGAAGTGGTTTGTTTGTGCAGTTTTGTTCTGGCCGAGCAGCCCCCGTGGCTGTTTGCACAGGGAATGTGCAGCACAGCTCTTCAGCACGTGGACCTGGGGCCCTGCTTTAAATCCACCCTCCGTGCCAGGCTGGTGCCGTGAGCCCCTCCTGGCTCCGGAGAGCAGAGCCACTGCCCCCAGCCCTGCGAGGCACAGGAGAGCTTGGGCTTCTCTCTTCCTGAAGAAAGGCTGCAGTTAATACAGCTACACAAGTAAGTTTCAGGGTTTTCCTTTTGCCACAGCTTTTCAGCAGACAGACTAGTGCCTGTCTTGACCAGAGTGGGTGTTCCAGCACTGCACATGTTGCCAGCAAACCTTACTCCATTTCCTCCTGCAGCACCCAGGGGAGGGGGCTGCTCCACCCCACCAGCACTGGGAGGCTCCGTGGTGTAGCTGCAGCAGTGTGAGTGCACCCAGCCCCTCGGCGATGGACTGCTCAGGTGCACCAGGCCAGCAGAGCTCAGACCTCGCTAAACACAAACTTGCTCAGCACAACATTTTCTGTTGTTTCGGTGCCACTCTATGAAGTCTGTTGGCACCAAGGGGAAAAGGCATTTGGGAAAACATGACAGAAACAGCACAAAATAGCCTGACCTAGTCAAAAAGAAAATTTGCCGTAACCTGTAGTTTCACCTCACTAACACATTTGAAATGTATTAAATATCACTTTGCCTTTCTTTTAAAGGTTTATTCTCCACCACCAATTTAGAAAAAAAAAGGTCTAATTCCCTTTTTGCTTAAGTGGATAAAAATTATCATAATTACAGAACAGACTTCTGGAAGGAAGAATGAAATTTCTGTTCACCAAGTTCGTGGGCCGGAGCATGGAGGAAGGTGGGAGGGGACAGCCCAGCCCAGCCCAGCCCCGTCCAACAGTGCAGCTGTTAGTGGGTGAGCACTTCCCCCAGAACCCACAGCAGGGTTTGGGTGCTGCTGCATGCCAAAGCAGAACCAGTTCTGCCTCCTGCAGCACGTGACTGCAGAGCCTGCAGACCAAACAGGAGTTCTGATGTGTTCATAAAGTGAGAAAGATAATTTTTATGTAGTTGCAGCAGCAACTAGTGCTATTTGATGATGCAAGAAGTGTTATTTATTCTCCTGCAGGCTGATGAATACCTACAGTAAAGAAAGGCTTCTCTGGGCAATTTAAACCTTGCATGAATGGAAAATCATTTTATGATCAATATTAATATGTTTGTGATGTATCCACATAAAATGTGTATTATTTCATTCTGAACCAGCTAACACTGAACAGTTAAAACTAACACAGCGTATGCATCCGAATGAGCCTGAGCCCTGCAGAAAGTTACCACCTCCCTGCAGCTCCCACGGGCCACCAACACATTGCAGTCTCTGTTCTCAAGGAGCAAACAGATGGACAAGTCCAGTAAGCTCAGGGCTGTGTGTGAAGGATCAGTACACCCACTACCCAGGGCAGAAAATTCTGCCTAATGAAGGGTCAAAGTTTGCAGAGCACAAATGGGTAGAAAGGTCAGATAAAGAAGCAGGAACTGGAGCAGAAGAGCATAATGATCATAAAGTCGTGAACATAAATGATGCCAAAGTGAATTTTAATAAAAATTTGATTCTACTTACTCCATTGATACTGACATAAGATTCACAGGAAAAATCTCTGTCATTATGTCCATTGAGAACAACTGATTTTCCCTTCTGTTTTCTGCAGTACTTGTGATGAAGTTTAGAAAAGGACTTAGTGCTACAATTGCTGAGAGCTTTCAGATAATCCGTTTGGTATTTCAGAGTTCCAATCATCAAAGTTCAGACTGACTTGTCCGTTTGGTATTTCAGAGTTCCAATCACTGAAGTTCAGATTGACTTACAAGATAGATCTGAGCTGAGACCTGACTGAAGCACAAGCCCCAGGGTTACCTGGGTGGCACCTGGTCAGGTGCAGTGCTGGCTGCAGGCAGTGGAGGTACCTGGGAGCAGGAGCTGAAGCCTCCCCAGTCACTCCAGCCAACAGCCTCCCTGCCCTTCTCGCTGTCAAGCATTGGATGCATTGAATTTTATATGCTGCAGCATCGAATCAGATGGTGACTGATTGGTTGAAGCAGTAAGTATCCCCCTGAATTTACTGCTTTTGGAGGCGATCGAAGGACTTGGCAGTGCCTTGGCCTCCTGCCATGAAAGCCTCGATCTCGTCCACGGTGCGCGGGACACAGGTGAGCAGCTCCACTCCGCTGGCTGTCACCGCCACGTCGTCCTCGATCCGCACCTGGGGCAGAGAGCACAGTTACAGCAGGCAGGGCACCAGGTGAGCTGTGTCTGCAGTGCTGAGCACCAGAGCTGCTGCACCATCACCCCCAGCCCCCTGTGACCCAGCAGAGCTGCTGCACCATCACCCCCAGCCCCCTGTGACCCAGCAGAGCTGCTGCACCATCACCCCCAGCCCCCTGTGACCCAGCAGAGCTGCTGCACCATCACCCCCAGCCCCCTGTGACCCAGCAGAGCTGCTGCACCATCACCCCCAGCCCCCTGTGACCCAGCAGAGCTGCTGCACCATCACCCCCAGCCCCCTGTGACCCAGCAGAGCTGCTGCACCATCACCCCCAGCCCCCTGTGACCCAGCAGAGCTGCTGCACCATCACCCCCAGCCCCCTGTGACCCAGCAGAGCTGCTGCACCATCACCCCCAGCCCCCTGTGACCCAGCAGAGCTGCTGCACCATCACCCCCAGCCCCCTGTGACCCAGCAGAGCTGCTGCACCATCACCCCCAGCCCCCTGTGACCCAGCAGAGCTGCTGCACCATCACCCCCAGCCCCCTGTGACCCAGCAGAGCTGCTGCACCATCACCCCCAGCCCCCTGTGACCCAGCAGAGCTGCTGCACCATCACCCCCAGCCCCCTGTGACCCAGCAGAGCTGCCCTGCAGGACGTGGTGCTGCCTCTGCAGCACCAGGCAGAGCAGGGCCAGTCCAACTTCTGTCATGGGGCCAATAAAGCTCAACCCCTGACATAGGAGCAGCAAAAGGAACACTCTGCCCTGGCTCTGCCTCCAGCCCTGCGATCTCAGGGACAGGTGGACCAGCAGTGCCTCCTGATGCCCACGGGGCCTGTTCTCAGAGCTCTGCTGCTGCTGCTGAGTGCTCTTTGCACTTCAGCTTTTCTCCAAACACTATAAACTTCCGAAAGAGGAAGTGCAGCATGAAATAGCTTATAGCTGATATTCCAAACACGGAATTTTGAGCTGATGAGAAAGTCCTAAGCAGGTCAGACATTCCTTTTAAAATACAATCACTCTGTTTCAAATCATGGGAGGAAAAAGCAGATCCTCTCGGTTTCCCAGGTCTTGTTCTGTTAACATGCAAAGTGTGCTCATTTCTGTTTGACTCTAATCTCTTCTTACCAGTAAATGTGCCTACACAGTCATTCCCGTTATCTTATCAGAAAAATGTTGGTAAGTCGCTAAGCTGCAATAAAAGCAATTTTAGTAAGGTGTAAATCCAAGAGAACACAAACCCTGGGTACTCCCACCTTACAGTTGCCTTAATTGTTTCTGACCTCGTGACATACTCAACTAAAAATAAAGCTGAGTTACATTTGTACTACTGATTGCAAAATAATCCATTTGTTCAAACAAAATGAGTCATCCAGTCCTTATTAAACTGTTTAATGATGTCTTTGCCAGATTATTTCTTTTACTCAGTATCAAGTTAAGTGTATTATAAAGCAGAATTAAATACACAAACTGCATTGGGTTCACACATTTGCTTTGGACAGCTGTGAGTCTGAAAGCCACGAAGCTCTGGACGCTCAGTGTGCTTGGGAGGCTGCAGAGGAGGAAACCAGCAACACAGAGCCTGACTCTGCCCTTGGACAGATTTTACCAGGGTGAGCTTCCACTGCTTCCAGTCTGGCCAGCTGAGCGAAATACAACCCAAGAATGCAGCAGGATGGTCCCACTGCAGCCAAAGGCAAACCATGCCCCCTGCCCCAGCACGTCCTGCCAGGCCTTGGGCACAGCCTGCCCGGGGGGACCAGTCCCTGCCAAAAACCTGGCAGTGCCAGAACCCAGTGGACATTTCTGGCAAAGCCAAAGCACCACACTGGCAAACACACAGTGTGAGTGGAGCTGGGCACGATGGGGAAAGTGCAATAAAGATGTTGGTGCACAGGAGGTCTGAGCAGAGGGGAGTCCAGCCAGAGCTGGAGCTGGGACAGCCTCTTCCCAAGACCCTCACGGACCTCTCCTGGGCTGAAATTCCCCAGTGCATATGCTACAGACACAGCAGCCACAATTCAGCAGCTTAACCAGTGAGATTAGCAAATAAAAAACCCATCAGTGTTTCCCAGTTCAGCGTTTCGTGCCATCCTCAACACCTCGGCACTCTGGGAGGACAGACAGACTAACAGCAGAGCAGATGAAAGACATGAGGGAAGGGAAAGAACAAGTGGGACGAGGTGTCTGTTCATGCTGTACTCTCTCTAGGCCACAGGAGAAGATGAGGATGGGGAAGGAGCTGGGAAATGGTGTTGGAGCAATGAAAGGAACCAGGGGAAGGAAGGCACAGTGAGATGAGCCAGGACTGACAAATCGTGGACAAAGAGAGATGGGGCTGGCTAAGGAGTCCAGGGGAGATCGTGGTGGAGGTGAGAAGTGAGACATTCTGAATGAGGAGAGCACACAGGGGCTGGAGCTGCCAGAGCTGCAGCACTGAGTGACCAGATGGGGAAACACACCAGTCTGGAGTGCCAGACACAGCAACTCGTACAGGAGAAACACTACTGGGACGTCACACAACCTGTCCACAGCTGTGAGCTGCTGTGGAAACAGGAGAGTCAGCACTGCCACAACAGCCTGCTCACCATCAGCAGCTCCAAAGGGCCTTTGGGATGTAGATGGAGGCACACAGAGGCACCAGACCCACCACCACTCCCAGGAACACGCCAGCTCCTTCTCCAGAATCCAACCCCTTTCTCTACCCGACAAATCCCTCCTGAAATAGGTGCATGCTACAACAGAGAAGACAGACTTTCCTCTCTCAGTGCACAGTTTTTCCTTTGCCTAAAAGCAACATGAGTGTAGAGGAACAAGTTCTCAAGGGGGAGGAAACGGTTGCATTTTCTCTTTTCCTTCACACCCTCCATGTTTCACCTCGAGCAGCAAGAAGCTGTTCAGAGGACCCGCAAAGCCTTCCCTACAGGAGAGCCCGGATTTGGTCTTGTCTCCTGTCCAAATGGACAAAAGATGCTGGAAGTGCCTGGCAGGGCTCTCTGGCTGGGGACTGCCTTTCCCAGTGGGGGCACTGGTTGTGAAACTCGCCCTCAGAGCTGTCCTTGTTAGGCTCTGTCCCACCGAGTGGTCTGGGCACAGCTCAGGGAGCAACAAACCGAGGTGTGAGGTTTGCTGCCCGCGCAGCTCTGGGGCACACGCTTGGCTCGGGTGAAATGGCATGTTCCAAAAGAGCACTCCTGCAAAGGGGCAGGGCCAGGACTGTCCCTAAAGTGCCCCTCTCTTCTCCAGAGTGGCATGGTCTGTCTGGACAGCTGTGATTGCACAAGTGCCTCGCGCCAGCACCACGCGCTCGACGCGGTGCCCAGCGCTGTCCCAGGCAGCCAAGGACAGCACAGGGGGCACAGCAGTGCTGCTCTCAGCCTGCACTTTGTCCCGACTTACTCACACACTCCTGCTCCCCAGAGCCTCTGCGCTATCTTCCAAGGGTTGCAGTGCTCACGCATTTCTTTTGGATGAGGATATATATAAAAGGTTTTTCAGAATCCAGAAATGATTTTGGCCAATTAAGTAGTCCAGATTTGCATGGCGACAGATCCCAGATCTCAAAAAGGGCTGGTGACAAGCCTCCTTTGTTTGAAAATCTATTGAGCATTTGTCTGTTTACGGCTGTGGAAAGCAGCAACACTGTCACTGCAAGGCCTTAGAGCAGGACAGTCCTGGGAGGCGATGGCAGGGACCACACCAAGGAGACAGCACTCGCCGCTCGGCCCGGCCAAGGACACACGTGTTTCTCCAGTTGGGGCCCACAGAGCCATGGACAGAGCCACAGGGACTCACTCTGACTCGGCCATCCACTCACCACTGGCTTTTAACAGAGCAAACTCACCACGAGCAGAGTCTGACTCTGGGGGAATGGTTAGGAACCCGAGCTGCCCTTACACAGAGCCCAGGGACAGGCAGGGACACTGCAGGACACTTTGCTGTACCATATCACATACACTGGTGATGCCCAGACCTTTTCTAACAGGCTCTGTGCTACACCACAAGTCTTTCTCATCCCACTCTGCCAGTCTTCCCTCTTCTTACTCACAAGCAAGTCCTCTTGCCAGAGAACCCATATTTTAAATGTCCACATAGGAACATCTTACAAAGGAGGATCAATATTAGCAGGGCAAGGTAATGTATGTTGTTAGACCAACTGATGAGGCTAGAAAAAAAAAGGGTCAGGTGCCCAGTCCCTTCACCCAGGCTCAAAAAGAAGCAATAAACTACAACCTAAATACAGGTTAGAAAGAACTGCTTTTCCTGTGACCTAATTATGTTAATTGGACAACTTGAAAGAAAAGGGTTAAAGGAGGTTTATAATCAGCTAGTTGCAGTTCTTGGGTTACCTACACCTATCACCTCCCAACAATATGCAGCGTGTGTAGAAACACGACATTAAACATGTAAACCCCTGACAACTGCTTCCTGTGAACCCCTTTGGAGAAATGCTGTGCAGCATTATTACTGCGATGGAACACCAAGTGCTAAAAGGCAGATGAGCACAATGTTTATTGCCCAGTGAACTATACTTCATTTCACAACACACATTCACCATGAACCACGAAACGGAGCTCAACCTCTGAAAAACAAACATCAGGACAGACACAACTGCCTGGCTCTGTGAACCAAAGGTGGGAGCAGCTAGACCTCCTGCTTTCTATTTGGTTTAACATTTGTTCTGAGTAAGGGAAGTACTATTGTTTTGAGAACTGCTGTAATATTAGCAGATCTGTGAGTTTCTGGGCTTTGAAAATCTAGCTTTCAAATGAGAAAAGTCTGCAAATGAAAGGAAGTAATGTACTTAACATGCAGCTCTTTCAGCATTTTCCCCTAAGTTGCATAGAGTTTTCACATATTAAGTCCAGTCCTACAAATCCTAGGGAAAAATAAAGCCTGAACAGAGACTGAATGTTTAAGACCAAACCCAAATGGACTGGTGTTCGTTCTGTCCCCGTGGAGAGGCTGTGGGGCAGCATCCCCTCACCTCCTGCCCTGAGATGGCTAACAGATTAGTCACAGATTAACCAGAGCCCAAAAAGACACGAATTCAAGGTGAATTCACTAAAATCCACAGGTGCTCTGGGTGGACAGTCCAGCTCGGAATCACAGAGGTGTCACCTCAGTGAATGTGAATTAAACTAAACCAAATTAAGAACACTTCCATCAGTGCTGAGCTCTGCAGAGGGAAATGGGCCTTTTATTTCCTTTTGCAGAATGTGTTTTTTTCTCGAAGGAAGATGGGACTAGCTGCAGTGAGCTCTTGGCTAGAAGGGACACCAGTCCTGGCCCTGTTAGCACTGATGTCTGTTAGTACAAAAAGGCTCTCTAGGCCTTTGCCATCCCACAGGGAGAGCATTTCCTGGCACACTTTGGAGAGAAACACTCCCCTGCTCTGGCTAAACCAGAGTGAACCAGCATGGAGATAACTAACATGCTGCACAACACAAACTGCATCTTTTATTTATGCAGAATAAAGTCAGAATTGTAAAGATGGAAAGATTTATTTTGATTGCATTACAATTCAGCTTTTGTGTAGCATTCAGAAATATTCAGATGCACTTCAGTCTCAGATTTTATTTTCATTCTTCTCCTGGACAAAATCAAGTGACAACATCTGGCTCACTGTATGTGTGTGTTGTTATTTTTTTTCTCTCGAAGTAGAATGTATTGTTCACAGGGGGATCAGAGATTTAGATTTTTGCTCAATCGTTTTTGGGCAGCTCCCCCTTTAGCAGTTCGTTGGCTCGCTCTCCTTACAAGTCATCATTACAGGAAGCTCAGCAAAAAACAGGGGAGAAAGTTAGACTTTGCTGGAAATCTCTGGAACAAAAACGCCTGATCCAGCAACTTCCTACCAAGGTAGAGATCCTGCCCTGTCACTCGTGTTCTCTGTGCCACCCGCACAGCTCGGGCACAGAGCTGGGGTGGGCACACACAGCCCTCGGAGGCTCCAGAGAGAGCTCACAGGAACAGAGTCCACTGCCAAAAATCTCCCCCAGAGTGTGAACAGGGGAAGCAAGGACAGCTCAACCTGTGCCCACTGCAGTGCCAAGTGCTGCCCGAGCACAGTGCAGTGCAGCTAGCCCCTCTGTGCAGGAGCACAGCACCTTGGAGAACAAGGTGGCACCACCAAACGCTCACCCTGCTGGAGCTGAGCCCCATGGGAAGCTGCTGACCGCGCTGCGAGGGCTGAGGGCAGCAGCTTGGCGTGGGAAACGTGTCCTGCAGAGCTAACCTGCCCCTCCACCTGCCCAGCTGCTGCCCTCCCTGCATGGCAACGACTGCCCCTTCACCTCTGCCCCTGGGGCAGCCAGTCCCACACACACTGCTCCTGGGCCTGCCACCCGGAGCTTGGGAGCACCGTCAGCCACTCCTCTGGAAAACAGGAAGGTTTCCAGGCACAAATGTCATACCATGCTGCCAATAATCCAGCAAGAACACTTACTGCTGCTTTTACCTACTGCCTCCCCAGCTTAAACAGCATCAGGCTCTCCTGCCCTGGGAGGGAGCACCAGACTGTGCTGCTGTTAGGGAAACCAAGTCTGGGCTACACATCTCGGTCTCATGTTTCATAGCATACCTGTTTCACACATCAGACAAACCTGGCGAGTCACTGTATGGTGCTGACAGAGGGCATTTCAATCAGTGGGAAGACATGGGTCTATCATTAATCAGACATCGACAGCATAGAACCAGATTTAAAAATAACAATAAAACCCCCAGTTTGTCTGCACAGTCAAATGGCCCAAATGACTCAAGGTGCTGCTTGAGGAACAGCTCTAGGTGCAGCACATTACGACTTCCAAAAGATTTCTCCTCAAGGACACAGTAAGGACAAACAAAGCGAAGCCCATGCATAAAACCATCTGGTTCAGCACTACTCACCCCACCAAAGCCCCTGAAGCGCTGCAGGACGTCCCTGTTGAAGAAGCAGGCCTGGGCAGGGTCTGCCAGGGCCTGGTCCAGCAGGGGGTCGATGAAGTAGATGCCCGGCTCGATGGTCAGCACCATGCCCTGCTCCAGGCTGCGCGCGGTGCGCAGGCTCCGCAGCCCCGGCAGGTCGATGCGCTCCACTCCCTGCGGGACAAACGCTGGTTCAGACAGGCAGAAAGGCAATCATGGACAGCCTCACACCAGGCTCACTGTGCTGACTGATCCCTCACAAAATACAACAAATAATCACAAAGGGCTGAAACCGTGCTGTGCAGTTACCTCCTCCCACCCCATTACAACAGAGCCCAACTTTCAGCTCAACAACCAAACTGGTTTCCGCACCACGGAAATCCTGGCTTTGGAGATGCTTGGTACTGTTACTCTCTGCCTTGGGAGAATCATAGAATCAACCAGGTTGGAAGAGACCTCCAAGATCATCCAGTCCAACCCTACCCTGGTCACTAGCCCATGGCACTAAGTGCCACATCCAGTCTCAGCTTGAAAACCTCCAGGGATGGGGAATCCACCACCTCCCTGGGCAGCACATTCCAGTGCCTGAGCACTCTCTCTGGAAAAAATCTCTTCCTAAGTACTGGGAGATTGCAGAAGTACTGCACTAAGAAGAAAAAATCATTCCTTGCCCTATTCCTTTCTAGACCCCTACAAAATATGGCATTTTAAGCAACACAGCTCTGGAAATGCCCCTGCCACGTCACGGCTGAGACAGCTCAACTATGCAGCAGAGAACAGTTTCTCCAAGGATATGCAAATGCTTCTTCTCACCAAATGTTATTAAAACTACACATTTATGATCTTGATTCAGGGGCAATGAGTCTACACATGACCTCATAAAAGCAGCCCATTTAAAGCTAAACTTTTGTCAGATTCAGACTTTCAGGCAACATGGTGCTGAGTGGTATTATTAAAAACTGAGCAAAACAAGTCCTGACTAGCAAAACATTCTCTTCTTCCCAAAAGCTGGTAAAGTAAAATGATATATGAGGACGTGCTTAGTGAAGGAATTAGAAACACTGCAAAGACTAGTTCAGGATATTAATTTTCTTCCCCTAAATGTGCCAGGTATTGCAACATCAGAATAAATATATCTCAATCCCATCAGCTTTTCGAAAATTATTTGCAACCGTAGCAAAATTTGACCAGCAACGTACCCCGATGACCCGTGAACAGTGCCCAGGCCCCAGATGTGCCCACACTGCTCAGCCAGGGAACAGAGGGCAGCTCTGTGGCACGGCCCAGCTCCCCAGGCTCTGCCAGCCCAGGGGGGCAGAGCACTCCCTGCAGCTGACCCGTGTCTGCAGCCTAAGGAACCACTCCCTCTGCAGAGTGGGCACAGCCTGCAGGAGTTTGCTCTGCAGCTCAGTTCACAGGGAGCCTGTTTTACAGGAACACTGCCTGACACAGCCCTGGCAGTCACCAAGCCACGCTGGGGCTGCTGTTTCTCCCTCTGCAGAGCCGACGGTTCCAATGCACAGCATCTCAGGGCAGCCCAGATTCCCAGAGCCAACCAGCCTGGGCACCCGGAGGTAGCTTTGCCTGTCTCTGCAGTTCTCGGTGCCCTCACAAGGCAGAGAGTGTGTCCTGACCATTTCACTGTGTGTTCAGTATGTTTTATGTTCTGTGTTTGCTCTGGACTCTGCAGAGCATTGTATCACCCTTAAACAAGAAAACACGATTTTGTTTTACTGGGGGTAGGAAACAAGAACACTGATATGTAGCAAGGCACTTTGCACTTATATTCTTATCAAACCCCAAAGAGAATCAATGTATTTCTGAACTGGAAACAATAACTGCAGTGAAACGGAGCCCTTCTTCTCTCTGCTGCCCCGTGGGGTTTGGCATTTCACACGCTCATTGTAAGGCGTAGGGAAATGAGGGCATCCAATCTTGTGGATTAATCTCTCCATGAGCTGTAAACAATTAGATTAGTGTCTGGACCTTTTGGTGTCTTGCCAACTATCCATCGGCTGCTTTACAACAAACAACCCCCATTTGGCTTTTAAGTACACTTCTCCTCAGTTCTACTTGCAGATGCCTTTTCCAGGGCAGTCAATCCAAGACAGATGCTGGAGAGGAATGTGCAGAAGGAAAACAATGGCAAGCATCCTCTGCAGGCAGCCCTGGCACAGCCTCCACGTTCTTTTGCCTTTTCTTGAAGGGAAGGAAGTTTAACACCAGGTGTGACAACCAAGCCTTGCACGTTTATCTCTGCACAGCTCTTAAGGCAGTGCAAAGGCATTTTGCCTGGCCTGCCTGCAGTCTGATCCTGCTTTTAGAACTTCCTCCAAGAAGCTAACGACACGTTTTCTGCTCAGGAGCAAGACCCGGGGGTTCACATTTGCAAACATTCCCCAGCAGTGCAGCTCCCCGGGCTGTCAGCAATGCAGGGAGGGGCCCCGAGGCACCTGAAAGCAGAAGTTGGGAATTTGCCTCAAAAAAGTGTAGAGAATAATCTAGAAAATATTAATGCTTAGGCATCTAAAAAGAGACTCCCAGTTATATTCTGGGAAAATTACTGTTTGAATAACTTTGTTCTCCTGTATCTTGCAACAACAGACTATATCCAAACTGTTCTCTAGGACTGATTTTATCTGGAAGTTCTGCTCACACTTCAGAACTGGGACACTCCCCCACAGCAAGCACAGATGTGTGACACTGTCAGTTGTGACTGTGCTCCTGCCAGGAACATCCAATCCATGGGTCACGCAAGGTAACCAAACCCAGTGTGTCCAGGCAGTGAGGACTGTCCGGGGAACAAGAGACTTATTATGCAAACTGATTTCATTACTATGTAAGCAAAATAAAAGTTCAAATTAAGTGTGCAGGAATATAAAATATAGATCTGTTTTTGGAGTAAGCAGGGAATTAGGAAGTATGCAAATCTGCCTACCCCCGGAAATAAAGCTGTGGGAGAGCAGAAGTTGCAGTATCCCCAGAATCTCTCGGTGTAAGGATGAGTTACTGCCTGCTCCTAGGCAACTCGATGGTTAATGGAGTTATATGTTGCTTTCTCCACAAAGAACTGCCACGTGTACCATGCTGGATCTCGTTCCACAGGCACGGGCTGCCAGGCAAAGCCATCAGAAACAGAGAGAGCTCCAGGCCCACCTGAGGTTTGTGCTTGGACCAGGACAGCAGGAAAGCACGGGGCCACCAAACCAGCCAGAGATGCACAAGTGCAGAGAGGTGAGGGCACCTCCCCACCACAGCCAGGGCTGCACCGTCTGGGTGGCATCACCCAGAGGTTTCCTCAAGCCAGCAATGGCAACAGGCAACGGCCACAGCAGAACACCAAAGCTGCTCAGTAACTGCAGACACTGAAGTAGTGTCTGGGACTTCTTTCCGGCTAAATCCTCACAGAACGTTTTGAGCCCGATGATGACCGGAGTGTCCCAGTTGGACCACATCCAGTACAGTGAGGTCCTAGCCACTTAACCAAGCTAAGTGCAATCAAGTATTTAAATTAATCAGAATACTAACATTACACTTAGATGACACGAAATGAACACTGGAGTGAAATCCCAGCTCTTTCACTCTTCCCTGTTCTGCCGCCGCACATACCCAACCTTTAATTAGCTCATTTACTGTACAAAGAATGGGGCCCTGTGCAGCTAATCAAATAGAAGCCCCAAATTCCATTTCACTGTCTCCTGGTCCCTTCTCTCCCAGCCCTCGTTTCATTCGCTGAGTGGTACTAATGAAGATCAGTTTCTCCAATCTCTCCTGCCTTCCCCAGCAGCCTGAGCTGCAGCACCTGAAGGACCTGCTGCCAGTCCTGCCTTTGGAATCAGCAGCAGGTTACAGGAGAACACGCCCCAAGCATCACATATCACTGTGGCATTCACAAGTCAAAGCTTCCCCTTCTGCAGGAGAATCTAATTACTAGCTGGAGCTTCTGGGACACAGCTCAGAGTTAATCCTGGGGGAACAGAGGGCACACCATGTTTAACTGGCTATTTTACTTCAAGTGTTTTCTTCCTGTCCTAGGTATTAACTATGGTATCAGGTTTAAGTTGCCTAATAATTTTCCTGTTAGCGCAGGGAATACGGAAAAATCTCCTGCCACTTATTCTAGGCACTGCTGGCCGAGGGTTCAGATAGAGCTGAATTTCAATCCATGGCCAGTGTGGCTCTGAGCATAACTCCCCACGCCAGTGGTATTTCTGGTCCTCAGGTGCCACCAAGCTCCAGCACCATCCTAATGGAAATACAATGTATGGCTCATGTATTTTCTCTTCTCTTAAAACCTAAGTGCGAGGAAAAAAGAGATAGAAAAGAGTAAAAATTACCAAGTTGACAAGTACAACATAAACCTGGAAAATGAGGAGAATATTTACTGAATTCATAAGCAATGAGAGACAGAATTGCTTCAGGATGAGACCAATGGCAAGCACCACTTAAAATGTAGTGGACAGGTTTTCTTGAGACATACAGAAAGCACACACAGGTGGTGGTCTCAAATGAAAGGGCTTTTTCCTTTGCCATCTTTAGACACAAATAGAAAAAACTGCATAGTGAAACCCCTAAAGTACAGCCACGATACCTGACTTTTACACACAACTGAAAGAGAACTCTTTTCTTGGTTTTCCTTTCCTACTGCACCTAGAACGAACTGTTTGGAAACTCAAAAGCTCCATTAGTGGCTGCTAAAATTTCAGAAATATTTGCACAAGAAATATTCAGATAAAAACTCTGTCAGCACACAAAGTCTTTTGCAAGAAACTTCAACACACCAAAGAAACATAAAAAAGTATCTCCATCAAAGAACAATTAACCAGAACTAATGAAACCCAAGCTAAGCAACTCCATGCCACTCTCCTACTCAGCAGAGGAGGGAAACCCTGCAGAATGACAGGGCATGTCTGTACCATGGCACTGCCCCTGCACAACACTGAGCCTTCTCTTCTCAGCTCCTGGTTCCATAAACACCCAGCTCCAGCATCTGTCCCCACAGGAAAAGGGTGCTGGGAACTGACCACAACTGTCCTGAACACAAGTGATGCCACAGCAGGGTAAGAAGACCGAGTAGCCTAACTCTGGGAGGGGTTTCAAGCCCACAGAAGAGTCCTGTGCTGCAGGAAGCTCTCCTGGCTGGTGTTTGACCCAGCAGATAACAACAGGCACTGTGGATTTCAGTGCTGCTCTGCATGGAAATGCTGCAGAACTTCACCCGTTTCCTTCCTGCACACTGCAGCCCCACCACCCTGGAATCCAGAGGAAGTGCCTCAAGGAGACCCCACGAAGCAGAAGCAGCAGGTTCTTTCTCCTAACCTTTTCTCAAGGTGTGCAATTGCTTGCAAGAACAAACCCTAGAGCCAAAACTAGTGAAAGGCCCTTTTGGTCTCTGCTCTGAGTGCCTCCCATGCAGGTTGTTTCATGCTTGCAGGTCCTGGGCACACCAGGCTGCAGCAAAGCTGTGCAAGGTTAGGGCCAAGCCAAGCAATTTGCATCACTGGGGCTCTGCACCACAGCTTTAGGCTTCTTGTAAGTTCACCTCATCCTCTGCTTCTTAAAGAAAAAACATGAATGCATCATTTGCAATGCTAACCACAAAAAAATGAAACCTTCTGCTTCAGCATGAAGTAGGATACATAAGGAAAATAATTTTTGCCAGAGCAAGAACGGGAACGATTATTCCCATGTTCTCTAGTGGGTTTGGCGACCTAAATCCCCAGACAGTCACCTGGGATCTGGGAGGAAGCTTTCTGTTCCAGCCAGACACAGCTCGTGCACCCCCAGGAGCAGCAGAGCCTCTCCCCAAGCATGGACAGTGATGGGAGGACATGGGAACTCCAGAACAAACCTCTGACCTTGGAGTGTTGATACAGAACAGCAATAGAAGGTTCAGCTTTTCAGGAGAATTGAATTAGAAATTTTAACTAAGGTAAATCTTATAATTTTCAAAACCAAAACAAACTGAAACTTAATTCATAAGATGCTAAAATCATAGTAGTTATTAACCTAACTTAAATTAACTGGCTTATTATTACAGAAAGTCATCAAATGTACTTAGCATTCTTTAGAGCTTACAGTCAATTAATATAACATGAAATTGAATCAACTCAAGCACCTAGAGACACAGAACCTAGATTTAAATGGAAACTTCAGCCCCATCTACCTCAGGCTCTGAAAACTTGGGATCACCTGCCACATCTTCTCCACTGCACCAGGCACAAACCCTCATTTATATCCCATGTCAGATTTACCCAGGAACAGCTGCAGGAACGTGGGAACATCATCTCCACGGTGCAGCTCTCAGCCGAAGCGAAGCCCAGTGGAGCTGTCACCCTCTGAAGCTCTGTCTGAGGGCCAGATCTGCCGTGCTGAGCACCACTGGGGCTGAGCTCCCAGAGCTGCTGCAGTGGCAGAGCCCAGAGCAGCACAGATCTCAAAGCAGCCAGGAACTCCGAGCTCACTGCAGGAGACAACTCCCAGGGAGCTCCTGGCTGTGGAGCCTCCTGGAAACCAGGACCTTTGCTCACTGCTTCACTGGCAGTGCTGGTGGTGACACTCTTTTGAACACCTTGTCGTAAAATAAGGTTGCCAAGACACATTTACTGCTGGCCAAACCCCATTGTTCTTCACCGCGGCAAAAGAAGGAAGGGAAATGTATTTTCTCCCATCCCAGAGCAGGCTCTGCAGAAAATCTGCAAGCGTTTCACAGCGTTCGTCAAAGAGGAGGAAAGTGCTTCTTCAGTGCTGCATGTGAAAGCAGCTTACTGGAAAAGATGAAAACTTTTTATTGCCAATTTTGAAAAAAGAAATCTTTGGCTACCAATGAATAACTAATCTGAGCTAACAATGTCTGGAAGTAGTTTTTTTGGAACACACAAAACTTTGTGATGGATAAAAATTAGGAAATTAAAGCTTATTGTATTATTTCAAATGTAACTGTTTACACTTGAGGAAAAATAATGGAATAATATCCACTTGGAAAGTTTTTATTTTTAAAAAATCCTTTGTAACACTCCCAAAAATTCCCTCGGCCAAAAGCAAAGGAGTTGCTTCTTAACCAGCAAGGAAAAAGAGCACAATACTACAGGCACAGAGTAGTGAAGAGCAGCACAGCTTTGTGAAAGGGCTGTGAGAATCTCACGAGGTGAACACCTACAGCACACCCAGATCACTCCACGTGCACTGGAGCTTTTCAGAACGTGCTGCTCATGACACTCTGGCACTGCTCACTGGAATCACTCAGTGATTGCCCTCACTGCACACACCTCACAGCCCTGAGGGACCCAGTGTCCCTGTGGATGTTTTCTGGGGGCACACTGCACACCTGAAGCCCTTCCCTGTCACTCTGGCCCTGCAGCTCCCGCTGGGCTGCAAGCCCAGAGGGGCCCCAAGAAGTTCAGCCCAGGCTTCTGAGGTGGGTTTTCCACCACCAGGAGCTCTGACACCTCCCCTTGCTCGGAGCCTCATGCTCTGGTTCAGAGAGAAGCGAAGGGGCTGCTCTTCTGTGGAAGCCCAAATTCCTAGTGCTTCAAACTGGGGGGATGCCATACACCCCCCTGTGTGCACATTTGTGAGCCAACACAGAACATCAGTGGTTTGCTTGTGAGCTTTCACACGTTTCCTCCGCACTCAGGAAACTGGGTTAGGTTTGGAAAGCAAATTAGCCATGTGAACACTGTTAATGTAAGAATACAGCATGTCTACACAAACAAATAATGTTAGGATTTTCAGGTACAAACTCCTGCACAGAGCTCTGGCAATTTCACTCACAGGAAATATGACACTGCAGAGCCTAATTCAGCTGATGACACCATCCCTACACCCATTTTAATCTGTAGCAGGTTGCTCTTTCAAAATTGGAGATAGACTAGTTTGCTTTCAAAAAATTTACCCTTGACTGATGCAATATATCTAATAATTAGCAGCCGTAAGTTGGCCATATGCACATCAAACTTATTTTTGCAAATGAAGCTGATTCTGTAGCTCGTGTGGCACTGCTGCAGTCTGCTGGGATGGAAGGTGTGCAGGGCCCACAGCTCGAGCCTCCCCCACGACCAGTGCTGGGAACCTCCCCCAGCACTGAGGTACTGGCCCTACCCTCAAAGCACAGTCTCTAAATTAAAACCAAGCATGGTACTTCACACTCTTGGAATTCTTCTCACTTGTTCCTGAAACTTAGCTCTCTCTTTACCCTACCAAGACTGGAGCATGCACAGCAGTTTGAGTCCACAACATTCAGACGTGTGATTCCCAACACTCGTGGGAACCACCTGAGCAGGGCAGCAGACAGCAGGGCCTGGATTGTAGGCCCAGGAGCTCCCCAAGGAATCACAGCCCTTGTGCTTTGCTGAATGTCTGTGTCTGTACACAGAGAGGATGTGCCAAGAGGGACAGAGGAGCAAACCTCCATCCTCTCTGCACCAGCTGCTGCAGGAAGCTTGAACCACATAGGGTTGCTTTGGAATTTTGTTTCGTTTTCATTGCGTATCAGTTTATTAGCTGATGCTAATACACCATTATCACAACATTGTGTCTCAACCACAATTATACTGTGAACTGAACGAGTACCCTCAGATATTATAGCTTCTCCCCTGCCTGCCACAGCGAACCAGCAACAGCAGCTGTTACGTAGCTGTTCGCCCAGCACAAAGGAGCTCCACAACATGCCTAAACCTTACCTAGAAAGTTCTCAGTTTCTTTTTCAGCTTCTTGTAACATAACAGCTCATACACAAGAGAAGAAAAATGATCCATTTCCATACTGTATTACTGAAAACCCCCAAATAACCACAACCTAACACACAGAAAATCCTCCTGAAGTTTTCTGAAGCTGCTGTAAACTTACTTTCTTTGTTGAAACCTTAAGTTCAATTCCCCTTAGAGGTTTTATTTTTTCAGTTATCATTGCAAACATATTGCCATTAATTGGTTACAGAATGTTGGCTACCTATTTTGCTTTCAGATCACAGCCATGGCTCACCAAGTTATCTCAAGGAAAATGGCAACTGTTCTGTGTTTTCCCAGACACTCTGAACACAGGAGGTTATGCTTTCAGATCTGCCAAGGCTGGAGCACCTGGTGGATTTTTTTTCTTTTTATCCTCATCCCAGGCTACACTGGTGCCCAGGACACCAAGCTGAGGATGGGGATGTGGGGCAGCTCGTTTCCATGTGACACAGCCATAGGATTTATGGCCCAGGAGCAGCACTGGGCTCCTGTGGCTGTCTCACGTCTGGAATGGAGCAAGGAAACCTTCCCAGCACAGGTCTCGTGCTGAGATGCTCTCTGACACAGCACAGGGTATGTCTGGATGGCTACTGGTGCCTCACAGAGGAACAACACAATGCATGTAGAGACTGAACAGGCTAAGAGTGCCCAAAGGGCAGCACCACCTGACTTCTCCTCATAAACGACTGATGTTTTAACAAACTAACAGATTTTCTCAAAGCAAACTGCATAAAATGCCACATCCAAAGAGAGTGACACTGAAATGCAAGTCTGCTCCCCCTCTGAGAAGATGCAACTGAGTGACCATGTCACATGAGCTAGGGGAAATGCTGATGGCATTGAGAGGGGTCAGTCTGCAGGGGAGTGAGAAGGGACCAGCACTAACCTCTGGGTAGCCTCCAACGTCGTGCACATCGATTCCAAGTAGATGTCCAAGCCCGTGTGGCATAAATATTGCACCCAGATGAACCTTCACCATGTCATCTACGTTGCCTTTCAGAATGCCAATTCTGGTCAGCTCCTCCAGATGGACTCTGTCAGCCAGACGGTGCATGTCAGGCCAGGCGACCCCTGGGAGAGCACAACAAGCAGCTGAGTTAACTATTGCTAACAGTTCTTAACAACCACTTGCAAAAAACAGATGTAACATGTGCCCTTTGTTTATATAGAAAACAAAGGTGGAAAGAGCAGCTACATTAGCACAAAGATGCTTTGAAACAAGACAAAACTACTTTCACAGCATGGAAAGTGAGAAAACTACACCTAAGAGAAACAGCAGCATCTTGAAATCCAGACCCACATGCAAAGATAAGAACTGTATCTCAGCATGTCTATGCAGATGCAAATGTATCAGAGGCTTCCATAAGGTGTCAGCTCTAAAATGCAGTGATTTAAAATGCAGAGCACAAAATACCACTCTGCTATTACCTTCAACAAAGCCCATGCCCACTTAAAACACTTGAGATGGACAGTACTCCCCTACACACACAGAAGATTTAAAGCCCACATCTTTCTGGCACAGACACTCTCCACAAATTAATGATTCCCTTGTGTAAATGGGCCGTGTAACACACAACTCCTCTAATACATGCACTGAAACAGCATTACAAAATACTGTTGGTTGACTAGAGACAGAGTGCCAGGATACATTAGATTGCTATTATTTTGGTATAGGATGCAATTTTGTTTGACAAAGTGCTGGGGGGAGGAGGGAGGAAGAAAGCAGCTCTTTTGTTAGTAACACAGTATCGTCTTAATTAGTTCACCATGGCTTTGAGTCATCATCAACAGAGCAGTTGCAGAGTCAAGACAACTAGGGCTAAGGTACAGCAGAAGAATATTTTCCTTGTTCAATTTTGGCATGATTAAACAAATAAGAAATGAGCAATTTTTAAGGCCAAACCCTCATCAAATTCCATTTGCTTTAATCCATTTAAACACGCAGCTCTAGGGTCTTGCGAACACGAGTGTCGTATCACGACGACATTAGCACGTTTTGCTCAGCGTACTGAGGCTTCAAAGGCTGAAATCAAACCATCCTGTGGGAGTGCTTAAATAAAACTGTGATGTGAGGAGCAGAAGCACACGGCGCAGCGAGTCGGTGGGTGCACAGCTCCCTCCCCACCCCACCCAGCTCAGCCTGCCCCAGCCAGGCCATGCCAGAGGACAGCACAGCACCCTGCACAAACCCACAGAGCCAGCAGGGCCCCAGCGAGGGGAGCTCACCCACCCAGGGAGTGCAGAACTCCTGTTCAAAGTCTGCTACTTTTGTGGTTTCCTTGCTTCAAAAAGGAATTTAGATTCTTTGTTCAGTGAGAGCCTACACAACTATAACCACTTGTTCTTTGTCAACTGTGTTCAACATAACTACATTTTACCATAGTTTATCTCTCTGAACATTGACCTTATGGCAATTTTCACTGCTCTGGACTCACCTGTGTTTCACAGCTCTCTCACCACAGGCTCAAATCTCCTCTGTGACAAACTGAAATCACTGCGAGCGATCACGTCCATACACAAGTATTGCACTGAAGTATTACTGAATCACAGATGTTTTTCTGTTTACTTTATAGTTGTTGGAATACAGAATTTCTGTGTCTAAGTCCCAGTTCAGCTTCTGCACTTTGCAGTCAACTCGAGCTGCTCTACAGGTCTTTAGTCTTCTTTCTGAGGACACTAGATGTTCTTTTGAGATCTCTCCCATGATTTCTTAGCTGAGTATTACTACAAGTCATCTATTTTCATCCCACATGTCCCATCTGACCCTGGCCAGCTCTTTGAAGCCTCATCCTCTCCTGATGCAGGCGAAGGTCAGAACTCTGCGGCTCTAACCACGTCCTGGGCACTCTGAACCAGGGTAGGATGAGGTGCCTGAGACAAGTGGAGATGAGGTGCCTGCTGTCTGCAGCACAGCTTCCCCCCACAGCCCTGCTGGGACAGCTGGGCTCCATCCAAACCCACAGACCCCACTTGAAGAGACACAGCCACCACTATCAACAACAGCAGAGATACAACTAACGAGGTACAAACCCCAAACTGATCACAAATAAACCCACCAAAACCACACATCCCTTTGTCTGAGGAAGTTTAACAGAGCAAACCATGGACACTACTGCCCTAGCTGAGCAGACTGCCACAGCTGCAAATCCCAAAATTTCTGGGCACAGGGCAGATTCCTTAGCACTCATTCTTCCCTTGCCGCTACCTATTCCTTTTTCTCTCACTGACAAAATGCTTAACTATTTCCACTCTCCTCCTCCTGCTCTGCATTCCCCATCTGTTTGAGAGGATTCCCATCATGGTAGGAAGAAACTTTAATAATAAGGAACAAATAGATTTCCCTTTTTTTAAACAGGTAATTTGAGAACAAAAGAGGATCTAAATCTCCCTTATAATCTTAAAAACATTAACTTTGTGAAGAGAAAGCAATACTTTACAGTAACCAGGCAATTACTTATGAGTATGGAACGAGATATGCTGACAAAGTGGAGCCCCTACAATTCAAGGAAGATCTCTTGGTCAATTTTATACAAAAGTATATTCATATGTTGCATACATTTAATATAGAGTAAACTGATATATGACTCTTGTCTTCATTTTGTCTGGCAGTTGGAATCTTTGCAGTGCAAGCCCAGCTGTGCCTGGCACTGCCTGGCATGGCTGCACTCCACTGTCACTCAGTTAACTAGTGGGTCACTCAAAGAGCAGAAGTCCTTAAATTCTGCTGGTCTAATTTTCCTTTGTAGATACTGAACTTGCAATAATTGCAAAACAACGGAGAAAGGAGGAAAAATTAAGTACCACCATTAACTGGATCAGGAAAGCCACGAACAGAATCTTTTGTACTCTCACATGATGTGCAGTTCAACACTCTGGATGTGCCACAGGGCCCTGCAGTGATGTATCAGTCCCTGTGCTCAGATGTCTGTGTGGGGATAGCTTCAGCAGCCTAAGGAACAAGGCAGTGAAGAAGACACTGCAGGCAGCCAGGGAACGACCTGCCCAACAGAGCAGCACCTGCAGGTGTGAAAGCACGAGCCAAACAATGCTGAACGAGCATGTTGGACAAAGGATCCTTAACACTTGATGTTCAGGCACCTCAGCTTTGGGACTGCCAGAGGTGCACAGAGAGCTCTGTGCCTGCTGCAGCAGACACAAGTCAAACACTGTGTTAGCATTCCTGTAGGGAGAAAAGGCAGTTAAACCCAGCTAAGAACCACATCAGAACAACTTGCACACGAGTGGCTCCCCATCAGCTATGGGAGTTACTGCAGTGGCTGACTGTTCCAAGGCACTGACCTCCCACCACCACCCACCCACCAGGGTGTTTTACTCAGACACTACTCAGGACTATCATTTTTAAGCTCTGGTGAAGTTTATCACAGCTGCAAACATGTTTTTTAAGTAAGTTTATCATAGTTGCAGATTTGCTTTTTGTGGAAAACGGTTAGTTCCATTATTATCTTTAAGGCAGTTTATAAACCAATTCTAGCCCACTGAGAGGTGAGGTTTGAAAAGTTAGATTGGAGGTCCTTGGACTTTGACAGCTTGTACCAAAATGAGTCTGTACTCAGGAAAATCTGCTGATGAGGTGTCTGCTCCATCCTTAATTCTCTGCCAAACGAGATACTGGGTCACACAGGTCACTGGACCATGAGTGGCTCCTCAGGAAAGCTCAGCTGGCTCGTTAGCCTGCCACTCGTTACCTGCCATGCAGCATGGGCTTGGGACAGAGCCCAGAGTGAAAAGCACCTTGAGATCCCTCAAGATACAGAGTGAATCAAGTGCACAGCAATGACCAGACAGTGGAGAGGCCCAATAATGAAATAGAACAGACAATGGGTTAATTAACAACATAAAACTGAGAGGTTATTGGTTCTCAGACACCAAACAAACACTACAGCAGAGTTTGCAGAGGTGTACTATGTCCAAGAATGGCAAACTTAATGCATTAAGTTTGCTAAAAGAGTTTTCTCAGAATTTGTTCCCATCAACCTCAATGTTACCTGATACTCTCAGACATGACTGTGACAGAAAAGATAAAAGAAGTATTGTTTTACTTCCTTGAAAATTGTCTGTTTGCCAAACCCACAACATTTCAGACAGAACACCAAGTTTTAGGGACTCAGACACATCATACAAGGATCTCTGCAATAATCTGTGACTCCTTTGATCACACTATCACAATGGAGAAGATTTGTGTTCCCTCCACCCAAAAGAAAGAAATGCTTCCAGTGAAACCAGAAATCAAGAGCAGCCTTATCTTTTGACAAACATAATTTTTTAAGCACTGGAATTAAGAAGATGAGTTGCTATAACACACTACACTATAAACTGTTCTCAGTTGCTGTTAACTCACTGGTATTTTCATGCCAGTGATTATTTTCTGATGTTTTATTAGAAACTATTTGAGAACATAAAGTAGAAACAGCACACAAAAGTAATTCAGAATTACTGCGTGGTATTTAGCCACTTTGGTCACAAAGTGCTCTGAAAAGGCCTAACAGGATTTTTTTGGCTGCTACTTAGCGTACTTTGTGGTTGTAATGTGACAATGATTAAACCACAAATGATTTCGCAGGGTTTTTTGTTGTTGTAGGGAGAGGTTTTTTTGCCAGCACAGATGTCACAATCTTACTGAAAAAACGAGTATGGCAAGGTTGTAGTGACTTCTCCCCAAGTTGTGCTAAGGTTAAGTCACATTCAATTTCTGAGTGTCCACAGACAAGGGCAAAAGGCCCAATGTCCCCTGGCAGTGCCACTGAAATGCAGACAGAACACACAATCCCAGTCCAGCCAGCAACCCACTGGAACAGACTGAAATCTGCCAACTGGCAGTGACCATATCAGACATTAAACAATGGGCGCTTAAGAATCCCAATCAAACCCAGTTCAAAACCCAAACCAAAACATCATTCAAATACTGAAAACAGTTATTCCTTCCCTCTTCACTTGGGTGCTAGAGAAATGTTTGTGGCCTCTGTGATTTTCATGCTTTCCTTTCGGCCCACTAGACGCAACACTCAGCAGTTTCTCGGGTTTTGGGCTTGGTTTCCTGCAGCACCAGGTAA